TGTGCATGTCCCTTCACTTGATGGAATTCTTGAAGTTGTCATCAATGCCGTGGGGAAGGGAGTGACTTGTTCTTCCTTCTTCTTTTTCAGCTCGTGCTCATAGGTTCTGAGTTCATCAAGGAGACCTTGAACAGTGTAGTTTTCCAGGTTTCTTCCTTCTTCCATGGCTGTGGCTTTGGTGTACCACTCAGTTGGGAGTAATCTCAGCAACCTTACATTCTTTTCTTTGGGAGAGAGAACGTGGTTAAGTGAGGCAAGATCATTCAAGATTTTGTGGAACCTTTCATCCAACATATCAAATGATTCTCCAGGAAGCATTTTGAAGCCTTTGAACTTCTCAAGTAGAACTTCTATCTTTTGCTTTCTCAAGTCCTCTGATCCCTCACATAGCTTCCCAAGGCCTTGTCATATCTCCATGGCAGTCTTGAGATGCTTGATTTTGGAGAAGGTGATGGGATCAAGTGTCTTGAAAATGGCTGCTTTGGCGACGTTGTCCAGATTGTGCTTTTTACAATCTCTATCATCCCATTTTTCCTTGAGCTTTGGAATGTACTGGATTGCATCAGGAGTTGCTAGATTCCTCTCAGGATTCTCCATTTGGATTTTCAAGGGGCCATCCTCAAGCACCATCCACATGCAGTCATGTAGAGCGTAGAGATGTGCTTCCATCATGATCTTCCAATCATCATAACCTAAGAGAGAAAACTTGGGCAAACCGTGATCCATATTGTTCACCATTATGATCGCTTCTCGTTAATCTAAGCTTAGATAGTGAGAAGTTGGCTCCGATACCAATTGGTGGTCCCAAAGTGGTGAAATACAAAGTCTAGAGGGGGGGTGAATAGACTTTGTTACAGATTTAAAATCTTTTTCGTTTCTTTTGAAAACGTAAAAATGAATGTTAATCTAGAGTCCTTGTGAACTTTAGATTGTGTGCGGAATTTGGTGGGTAGAGTGAGCAGTAATCAATATGGATAGGTTAGTTTTCACGGTTAATATAATTTCAAGTAAGAATAAAGATAAGAGAGAGAGACACGCAAACTTTAACGAGGTTCGAAGGTGGGGTAATCCTTCTACGTCCTCAAAATCCACTATGTAGTTGGTTGTTGAATAATGAACCAACAATTACACTTGTGTGAATTTCTGCACGGTATATCTTCACAAGACCAATGTTGCTACTGCACTCGTGCTGGCTTTGTTGTTCCTTCGAAGGTCAAGCTTCTTCAACAACTGCAAG